GGCAATAGTTCCAAAACTTTGAAAGTTAAGCCCTTGATAGGATAACATGCATTTCACCTGTACTGCATTTTTGAAGAAAGCTGACCTGAAGCAAACAGGATGGTTGAAGAGGACCAGGACACATGGGGCCATGCACTATGGAAAGAAGAGCTCAGGTATACAAGGTGCATAGAAGGAGGGAGAGGAAGGATATGTTAAGTCTGTCTTTCCCAACCTGGAGATTTGGCACTCACCAGATGTCCCAAAACACAAAGAATTCCCGCAAGAGCCATGGTGGCACAGTGGTTAGAATGCAGTATTGCAGGCTAATTCTGTCGACTGTCAGCAGTTTGATCCTGTCGGGCTCAAGGTTGACTCAGCCGTCCATCCTTCTGAGGTCTGTAAAATGAGAACCCAGATTGTTGGGGGCAATATGCTGACTCTGCAAACTACTTAGAGAGGGCGGTAAAGCACTGTGAAGCGGTGTATAAGTCTAAGTACTATTGCTATATAAGTGCTATTGCTATTGGAAGTTCTGTATCTCTCCTTCAAGATACAGAACAGGAAGAGCACTGTTAGTCTTACCTATTCTGGAAAGATGGAGTTGAGATTTGGTTTATCACGGCTGATTTTAATTCAGCGGGAGTTCTTGTTAGAGGATGTGTTCCTGAGCGTAAGCAGGGTGCTGAAAGAATAGAAAGTATGCAAATGGCCAACATTCCATTAACAAGTAAAATATGCTCATAAAATAGTTTTCTTGGATACAGGCAGACATTTAATATATTTGAAGCAAAAGCTAGACTTATTAAGAAATGCATGAGTCCAGAAAAACTCACTTTTAACCAAACTAGATTTGGAAGAGCAGGGGGGAAAAACAGAAACTTAAATAATATTTAAACTAAACTTTTAATACTAAGTATAGCATATCTAGCTAGCAAGAAGAAAGCAAGAAAGGCCAATAGAAATAGAAACAGGTTAAGATCCTTCTCCTTATCAATCTCCAGCCATTTTTGCCAGTGGTTAAACCAGAGGTGGGATTCTATAGGTTCTCACCTATTTGCTAGAACCGGTTGTTAACTTTCTAAGCAGTTTGGAGAACAGTTGTTGGAAGAAATCTCCTTTTGTTTTTTTCCACCCTTCTTGCATTCTTGGCAGTATGCCTAGACTTAATGTCTCCAAAGGAGGTTTTTTTTTCCTTTGCTGGTACTTTCTTAAAGGGGAAGGGTTGTTTTAAGCTTTTTACACTGCTGTTGGGAGGAAATGCTCCCCTGTTGGAGTTAGCACTTTGAAGAAATAATTGAATACTGAAGCAGAGTTGCCAGAAAGAAGCTTTTAATGACAAGGAACCAAGATGAGTGACATTCAGCAAGGCTTCTTGGCTAGCTAGAAAGATTGACATTCAAACGTGAGTTTACATACTCTTTCTGAGTTTTGGTCTAAAACTAGTAACCATTCAAAGTTACAATGGCACTGAAAAAAGTAACTTATGACCATTTTTCACACTTACGAACGTTGCAGCATCCCCACTGTCCTGAGAGGCCAGGCGAGGAGAAGCGCCCCTTGATGTGAGTGACATTGAGTTGGCCACGCCCACCCAGTCACATGATCAGCAAGCCATGCCCACCAACTAAGCCACGCCCACAGAACCGGTTGTTAAAAAAAATTGAATCCCACCCCTGGGTTAAACAGCTTAGAAACCACCCCTCAGGAGCCCTTTATGGGAACCAAACATGCCTTATGGCTTAGCTTTGGTCAATCAAACCATGTGTAATTACTCAACAAACCCTCCCTTAAGCAATTTGTAGCTTTTAATGCAATATCAGGATTTTAAAAGCAACCTGTGCAATGCTGAGTCAGAAGCAAAGTTTACTATAACAGGTAATCCCAATGAAGTCTTGACCTATACTTTTTTAAAAAGCAGTGTTTGTAAAAGTAGTGGCCCTACTCCATGTTGGAATGATGAAGTAAAGATGTAGGCAGGGAACTGCACAATTATCAAGATAGTTTGGATTTTTTAAATATAAAGGGTGTGTTTGGGGGCTACTCCAACATGGAGTAGGGCCACACACATATACATGCATATATCATGATATATAAAAAGAAAGCAGATACAAATATAAAAAATAAGAAATACAGAAACAAATATATATAAATAGTCTGACATTTTTTACAATACACATAAATGAAACTTAAGTTCAACTCTTGCTCTACAATTACAATGTACTCTTCATTTCTTTTAATGTATAAATATTACTAAAACTCAAATCCATATGCCAATCTGCCACCTTCCTAATGGAGAACTGAATGATTATGTGCCATCAAGTCATTTTGACTCCTCGTGACCACAGTGATATATTTTCTCCATGACTATCCGTCCCTAACCTGATATTTCAGGTCTTCTTGGCACATTGGACTTCTTGGCACTGTGCCAGAGTCTTTCCGTGTCACTGCTGGCCATCCTTTTCCCTTTCCTTCCTCCTTTCCCAAGCATCATAGACTTCTCTGAAGAGTTGGATCTTTTCATGATGTGTCCGAGATAGACATATCATCAACTGGAAACTGCATGGATAGACCTTTTTCATGGCTAGTCCTTAATCTGGTCCTTCATCATGGCTTCCAAGGATGCCTCCATGGACACTATAACCATAAGCCTCTACCTTCCTGCTGGTCATCTCTTTACCTTCCATCTTTCCCAGAACTAGGGCCTGCAGAGAGGTGTGTCTTCACAGTATGTGTCCTAAATAAGATAATTTGAGCCTGGAACGAGCCCTTTGGGTGGTGAATCAAGATCACGTGAAAGTACTGCTTTACAAAACCCAAGCAAGAACCACATCTGGAATACTGCAACCAATTTTGGTCACTATACTACAAAAAAGCTGTAAAAAGCTCAGAGAAGAGCAACTAAGGCGATCAAAGGCCTGGAGACTAAAACATATGAAGAATGGCTGCAGGATTTGGGTTTGGCTAGAGAAAAGAATTAGGGGTGACATTATAGCAGTATTCCAGTATTTGAGAAGCTGCCACAAAGAAGAGCCTGCGGTCTGATCTAAGCATAGTTCACAAAATTGTCTATTACAACATCTTGCCTGTCAACGACTTCTTCAGCCTCAATCACAATAATACACTGGCAAACAACTGATACAAACTCAAGGTAAACCACTCCAAACTGGATTGCAGAAAATATGACTTCAGCAACAGAATGGTTAATGCCTGGAACGCCCTACCCGACTCTGTTGCTACAGCCTCAACCTCTCACAGCTTCAACCTCAAACTGTCTACTGTGGACCTCACCTCATTCTTAAGAGGTCCTTAAAGGGGGCGTGCATAAGCACACCAGCATGCCTACCGTCCGTCTTACTGTCCCCATTTATCTGTATTTACTTCCTTTGTTCTTGTTTATGTTCACACCTGTACTTATCTTGTACATGTTTGACAAACAAAGAAGAGGGGGATCAAATTATTCTCCAACGCCCCAGAAGGCAGGACAAGAAACAATGGATGGAAACTAATCAAGGAGAGAAGCAACCTGCAATTCAGGAGAAACTTCTTAACAGTGAGGACAATTAACTAGTGGAACAGCTGGCCTTGTGGCTGCTTTATTACTGGAGATTTTAAGGAGACTGGACAGTCTCTTGTCTGAAATAGTATTGGAGCTCCTGCCTGTGCAGGGGGTTGGATTAGAAGACCTCTAAAGTCCCATCCAACTCTATTCAATTCTATATAATGTTTTTTTTTGGGGGGGGGGGGGGGAATCCCACCCATGTCCTGTGAAGATTGGGCATTTTGGAGGTTTTTAAGAGATTAGACAGCCACTTCTCTGAAATGTCCTACCTGTCCATGAATACTTCAGCTTCAACCATAACAATACAAGAGCAAACAATAGATACAAACTCAAGATAAACTGCACCAAACTTGATTGCAGGAAATACGACTTCAGCAACAGAGTGGTCAATGTCTGGAATACTCTACCTCAGGGGTCTCCAACCTTGGCCACTTTAAGCCTGGAGGACTTCAACTCCCAGAATGTCTGGAATACTCTACCTCAGGGGTCTCCAACCTTGGCCACTTTAAGCCTGGAGGACTTCAACTCCCAGAATGTCTGGAATACTCTACCTCAGGGGTCTCCAACCTTGGCCACTTTAAGCCTGGAGGACTTCAAC